GGGGGTTGTGCCAAAGGCACGGGAAAATTTTAAAATTTGAATCCTGGAAATGGCATTTTCAGCATTCTGAGAACACATTTTGAAAAAAGCTAGGTTTTCAACACACTGTTTTAATGGTGCGTTTTTTTATAAATCACATGCTAAGTATAGAAAACCAACATTTCAGAGAAAATGTTTACATTTGTGAATGGAATTGCAAGGTGCTTTAATTTAATTAACACGCCAATGACAATGTAAAGTTTATTCGCTAAGTGATGATGTTAATTGAATTGTCCATTGTTTTTGAGCATAACAGTTTAATACGCATTCAAATATTATTATGCAGCAGGAAATTTCGCTATATAATTTTATAATATGAATTTTAATACACATGCCCTTGAAAAAATTTCTGCATATTTTTGCATGGCCCACCCTTATGATTGCAATTAACTTTCGATGACCCACCCCTTCAACCGTGCTCAAAAATAGTGACCCCCCCACCATTTTTCCCCAGCCCACCTCCCTTTTACTTTATGACCGTCAATCAAAAATTCGAAATCAACATTCTGACCAATCAGAATGCTCCAGCATACACTGTGCCGGAGAACTCAGAATGTGTAGTTTTTGGGCAGGCGGTATTTCTAGCTTCCCATTCTCTCGTGCCCGCGAATACCGCCTGCTACGCTTATTTTTGATCTAGCCAGTGGAAATTCCGTATTGATTTAATATTAATCGTAATCATAGCCATCAGACGTCTCTGCGGAATTGGAGGAGAAAGGTGTGCTGCCATCGTGAACGGTGTGCTGCCATCGTGAACGTTGTGCTGGCATTGGGAGCATTGTGCTGCCACTGTGAACGTTGTGCTACCATCGTGAATGGTGTGCTGCCATCGTGAACGTTGTGCGCCAATTGGGAGCATTGTGCTGCCATTGTGAACGTTGTGCTACCATCGTGAACGGTGTGCTGCCATCGTGAACGTTGTGCTGCCATCGCGTGAACGTTGTGTTGCCATCGTGAACGTTGTGTTGCCATCGTGAACGGTGTGCTGCCATCGTGAACGTTGTGCTGCCATCGTGAACAGTGTGCTGCCATTGTGAACGTTGTGCTGCTATTGTGAACGTTGTGCTGCCATATTGTGAACGTTGTGCTACCATGGTGAACGGTGTGCTGCCATTGTGAACGTTGTGCTACCATGGTGAACGGTGTGCTGCCATTGTGAACGTTGTGCTACCATCGTGAACGCTGTGCTGCTATCGTGAACGGTGTGCTGCCATTGTGAACGTTGTGCTACCATTGCGAACGTTACGTGTGCTGCCATTGCGAACGGTGTGCCGCTATCGTGAACGCGGTGTGCTGCCATCGTAAACGGTATCATGCGACTACTTTGTGCGCATTGTGTATCATTTGTTTAT